GGCCTTAACAGGTTTAACTTTAACCTTTATAACATACGGCGTATAGGCTTAGATCTTTACTAGTAACGCTCTTAGCTTTACTTATATAATCTGTTTTACTAGTAGGCCCTTTACGATTATAGCGAACTTACTCTCGTAAAGCTAGGCCGTAGGCCTAAACGCCCTCTATACCTAGCCCTAATCTTAGATCACGTTCTTTAGTATAGCCTCTTTAAACGTAAGGATAGTGTCGCTACTAAGTAGCTAGTAGGTCGCTACTACCTTAGCGCCCTTTATTACTATATTAGCCGCTATTACTACTTTAATAGCGCTACGACGTACTAGGTCTTCTATCTGTCTATCTGCCCTAATCCTTAGCTCCCTAATCCGCCTTTCTAGTATAACCTAGACTCTTGTTAGGTACTAGCTTACTACTAACGCGTAGGTAGCCTAAGGGGCCGCTATTATTACTAGCCTCTAGAAGGCCTCTTCTAATATCGTTCTTAGTTGTCTAATCGTTACTAGGTTATCGTTAGAAAGGGACCTAGGGGTACGTAAGGAGGTCGTCGTGTTCGTAGCTCTTGTCTCTACTACTATCGTCGTTATAGTAATAAGGTCGCGTAAGAGACGCGACGCCTCTTCTTCCTTACCTAGTATTACGTAGGCTTTAATCTTTTATATGATTTTCTCTGTCTTATCGTCCTTATTACCCTTACTACTCTCTAGCTCCTTACTATAGCTCTTAGTTAAGGTATAGGAGTACTAGCTTCTACCTGTAAGTAGGTAGTGTTAGCTCTGTTTAAGTCTAGCACACCTACTATCCGTTACTATAGGCTTGCCTATAGTCTGCTAGCACTCTAGAGGGTATCTAAAGGTACTGATTTTGATTCTATTGTTTATTTTCGAGTTTTTAGGGTAGTAAGGGGCGTAGACGACCGTTCCTTTTTTTTTTAATTAAGATTAAACTATATTACTTATAATTATATTTTTTAAGTAAATATAGAAAAATACTTTCTTTATCCTTCTTTACTTAGTCCCTTTCTTATAGCGCTAAGGGGTATATAGAGACTTGTTTTTACTAGTTTATTGTCTCCTTTTCTTTTTTTTACTTTATATAAATATAACGCTACTACGCTCTTCCTTTCTTACAACTCTTTTAACGAACTTCTAACAAACCTTAATTAAACTACTAACGACAACATAACACTAACAAAGTGTTTAGTAGCTTATAAGCGATACTTAAACTAAATAGCTTTATAAGACCTATAAGGTACCTTACTAAAGTATAAGGATAACGACTATAAGTATTCCTTTCTAGTAAAGAGTAATAGCCTAATAGTATAGTAGCTACGTTAGTAAAGTACGTCTATTATAAAAATTTAAAAAAAGAGTACATTTTTATAAGTATAACCCCTTTTAAGGCGACGCTCTTATGTCGTAGCTTTGTTAACGTTACTAGGTCGTTACAACCTTTTAAGCTAGAGAGGTCAAACTTTAGAAGGCGATTATAAAGAAGGATAAAGTAAGTTAGCTTGTTGTTTATAAGGAAGTCAAAGCTAATACGTATAGGCTATAATTTAGAGCGCCTAAACTTTAGTAAAAAAGAGCCTCTAGTATTTAAAGTCTTAGTCTATAATATTAGTAAAGAAGTAAGTTTAAAGTAATAAGGTAAAGAAGAAAGAGAGGATAGAGAAGAAGTTAGTCTATCTAGCTAAAATTACTAAGTAGCTAGAGATTTATAACAAAGTCGTAATAGTAGTAAACGTAAAGGTAGATTAAAGAAACTAGATTACTAAAGATACGTTATAAGTATAACGTAACTACGTTACTATCTTTAAGAGGTACGTAACGTATTTTAAGAAAGTTATAAGTATTCCTTTCTTAAAGTAAAGTCGCTACTAATTTAAAGGTAGTACGCCTATAATCTATAACGATTAGAAGGTAGTAAAGAACTTAAAGATACTACTAAGGATAGTAATAGTAAAGAAAATAATAGTAAAAAGGATAATAATAATAATAACGTTAAGGACAAATAATGTTTAAACATAGGTTAAAGCTTGTTTACCTAGTAGAATTATGCCTTAGATCCTTTCTTTTACTAGGCTATATAATAATAAAGTCGATAGTACTTTATAAGGAGGTTAATAGCTAGGATAGCGCTTTAGGCTTCTTTTCTTTTCTTTTGTTGTTTTTTTTCTTTAGGCTAGATAATAATAATATTAATAAAGGCTTATAAGGGCTTTAACAGATAGGACGCTAGATAGATGTTTTTAGTAGTTTTTTTTTCTTAGATACCTAAGGTTTTAGGTATTAATACTATAAATACAGGAGTCGTACTTACTTTACTATAAGGACGCTAGTACTAATATACTTTTTTATTAGTAATCTTAATGTATTTACTTATATTTACGTAGTAATAGACTATTGTTAAGGTTCTATTATAGTTCTTATAAGTTTTCTAAATCGTTATACTCTTTTTATTTTATAAGATAAAATCTGTTTCTTTATAAGCCTTTATAGCTAAGAATAGCTTTTACTTTAAATGTTTCTTTATCTAAGACTAGGATGTCTATTAGGCTTATAAGGACTTTACCTTCTTATACCTTATAGGGTTCTAGACTTGTAATTAGAAAGGTAGGATATAGCCGTACTAACAAAAGAAAGCGTAGTCTATAAGTAAGTCTATAGTCCTTAATAACGTCTTTAATTTAGTAAAGGCTAATATACTTATTTATAAATTTCTTAGAGAGTTAACGTTACCTTAGGTGTTTTATTAATAAGAGTACTTAGTCTCTCTTTTTAAATAAAATCTTTTTCTAGTTCTAGTTATACTATTTCTTATACTGTTTTTAAGAATACTAAAGAAATATAATAATTTCTTTATAGCTAGTACTTTATAGCTACTCTACTCGCGTATTAGCTACTAGCGCCTCTACTAGCTTTAACCGGTTTAAGGGTATGTCCTTAAGACCTTACGGCTAGTACTTATATAGTACGTATAATAGTGTTACATTTATTATAGAGTACTATAAAGTGTTGTATATAAATTTAGTAAGATCTAGCTTAGTTACCTAGTTGTCTTATACAAAGCTATAGTAAGTTTAAAGGTAATACTTAATAGCTTAGTTCTACTGTTTTGTCTACCTGTCTGTTTATAGGTAATAAGTAGTACTAAGTCGCTATAATGTTACTAGGTACTAGTAAAAACTACTCTAGAATTTACTTATAAAGAGAGAGCCTTAGTCTAAGATAATACTGTCTAGAATTCTAAATTGTTATATAACGTAGTATATTAGGAGAGACACTAGTCTATTACTAGTAAGACAATTAGTTATTAGAATATATAAGGAAAATTTTGTAAATTAGTCTATAATAACAAGTATTAAGTTATATAGTTTACTTACTACGTTATAAGAGTAAGGTAGCTATATAATAAAGTTAAGTAAGATCTCTTACTAAGGTTTAGAAGGAATAAGGAGTAGGACTAACTTACTATATAGTAGATAAGTCCTTACCTTTGTTCTTTAATAGATAGCGTAAGTAGAAACGTAATAGTAGACGTCTTTATTAAGACTCGGCTAAAAGAAGGATTAAGAAAGCCTTTTCTTTATTTTACTAACTCTCTAGTACCTTATAGTAGGTACGTTATAAAAAAGCTTTAGTAACTCTTTATATAAGCCTAGATTATTAGGTATATATATACGTCTATAATACTATAGTAGCGTATTATCCTTAAATGTCTATAAAGACCTAGTAGTGCCTTAGCTACCTTACTACTTCTTCTACTCTTTATTAGTAATAAAGGCGTCCCTTTACTATATATTATAAAGGGCTTCTAATAGTAATAGTAGTAACGTTAACGTTACTATTACCTAGCTATTACTCTTACTAGCCTAACTCTAAGTAAAGTTCTCTACTAGTATAAGAGTGTTTAATTTACGACTTAATACTCTAGTAATAAAAGCGTAAGGTCTTTAAGACCTACGATCGCCTTAGTCTACTAGCTAGCGTAAGTCTAGCCTCTTACACTAGAGCGATTTTACTAAGATAGTATACGTTAAGGAGGTTACTAGACCTTTAAAAAGAATAAAAGGAATTAAAAGAACAAAAGGAATTAGAAAGATAAAAGAAATAAAAGCTTTGTTTTAAACAAGCCTTATAGTAAGACTAATAGCTTCTAAGGTAACTACGTTTACCTAGAATTTATTAAGGAAAGTTACTAAGAGAGCTTGTTACGCCTTTAATTACTTATTAGGATCTTATAAGTTAGGCTACTATAATAACTTATTAGTAGGGTTTTAGCTACTTTCCTTATATTTAATCTTAAAGTTAAAGACAAAAAGTTCTTCTAGCTATCTAGCTTACTACTATAACAACTTTAGCTTTATAGAGAGGTAATAGTAGTTTAGGTAATCTATTAAAACTAATACTAAACTTTATATATAAGCTAAGTATAGCCTTTATAACCTAAAAGCCTTAACAATAGCTATTAACTTAGCGTTAAGGGTATTATAGTATAGCTCTAGCCCCTTTAGCTTTCTAGAAATAAACGTAATAAGGTACTAGCGGCCTTCTTATAGCTATAAAAGGATAGTACTAATAGTATAAGTAGATATATCTGTTTCTATATATGTAAGTAGTTTAAGGTTATAGTAACGTAGAAAAAAGGCCTTTATAAAGACTAGTCGTAACTTGTAAAAGGCCTTTAGGGCTTTAGAACTTAGTGTAATAGTACTAGTAGCGTCGCTCTAAAAGAGATTTATTAGTAGTATAGTAATCTTTAAATAATTCTTAATAAAGTACTTATAGAACCTAGTAAACCTTAAGAAGATACAAATGTCCTTTATAGTTATAAGAATAAGCTATTCTTAGATTATAGAGACACGCTTAGGTTTAATATAAACTCTTTATAAGTTAATAACGTATCTTAGGAAACTTACTTACTTTATATTAAACTTGTACTTTAAGAGGTTAGTATAAAGGTTATGTTATTAGAGACGTTTAAGGACGTAGTAAATATACTATATATACTCTTCTTTATTTATAGAGTAGATAAGGATATTATTAAGATATATAATATAAATATTATTAACAAGATTCTCTAGTACTTTATTAATAAAGGACTAGAAGGTCGCTAGTACGTTTACTAGCCTAAAAGGTATAATATAGTATTTAAAGTAACTATATTAGTACTAGAAAGCCGTTTTCTACTTATTACTAGCCTTAATACAAACTTAATAGTACGCTTTATATAGGTTAAGCTTAGTATAGACGCGGGCTTACGACAGCTAATTAAGGATCTCCCTAATTAATAGAATAAGGGCTTAGTTCTTTCTAGTTATACTATTTAACGCTTAGTAGTTAACATAAAGTCGTAGCTTTTCTCCTTTCTTTAGAACAAATAGTATTAGAGTACTAGTAAGGCTCTTACTTAGACAGATCTATCTTTTTACTAAGGCGTTATCTAAATATTTGTATAAGACACCTAGCTTAACCTTTATAAGTAAGTAGATTTAGCTATATAGCGGTACTACGTCTCTTTTAAGGTCTATTATATAAGTAAGGCTATTAATTACAAGTAGTGATCTAGCCCCTTTCTTAGAGAAGACGTCTATAAATTGTTAGTACTTACTAGGTAAGGTTACTATAGCCTTACTATCTTCTTATAGTTCTTCTTATAGTTCTTTCTTACTTAAGGATTCTAGGTCGACTATAATTAGTTATACTATTACTATAATTACAAATTAAGCTTCTTTTATTACTTTCCTAATTTCTTTCTTTATTATATATAGCTAGACTATTAAAGATAACGTAAGGTATACAAACGTCTAGGTCTTTTATAAAACGATTAGGTCTATAGCCTCTAGCTATAGAAATCTAAGTATAATATCTAAGTCTCTAATATTAGTAACGACAAATCTACCTTAATATCGCCTTACTATTAAGTAGTTATCTTAGGCCTTAACAAATAGATTATATAATCTAAAGCTTGTTATCGTTTTCTAGAATAGTAAAGACACTATAATATAATTATTAAGTTACTATAGTACCTCCTGTCCTAATAGTTGTAAGTAGATAAGGTTAACTTCTACTCTTAAGTCTAGTAAGGCTAGTATAGCTACTTAGCTACCCTTAATACGTATCTTTACCTAAATACTTATTAAGGGTCGTCTCTCTTCTTATTGTTTAGGCGTAACGTAACAGGCTACTAGTATAGTATTAGCGCCTAAAGTACCGGCCTTATTAAGGTACTAAGTGTAAGTATGCCTAGACTAACTATATATAGAGTATTTATATAGTAAGTACGAATTTGCCTAATAACCAGGCTACTAGTATTAGTAGTAGTTACTTTATACCTTACTTACTAAAAGGGTTTTTGTAACACTAGAAGAGTCCTTTTACGTATTTAAAGTTTAGCTACTAGATGCCCCTTATGTGTTTACTAGTATAAATAAGGTCTTTAGATTATAAGAAGAGCCTTTCTTAGTATAGTATAGTATTAAAAGGGCTCTGTAAGAGCCTTTTTGTTACCTTGTCTAAATAAGAGTTTCCTTTCTTAACACTACTACCTTAACTACCTTAAAGGTATCTAGGACCTTGTTACTTACTATATAGGCCCTTAACTTAGGCTTTAAATAATTAATAAGAAGGTAGATACAGAACATCTCTAAGAAGGCGTAGCCGAGTTTAATAACTAGAGAGTTATACTATTAAAAGAAATTCCTAAAGGTCTTGTTTTAGTTTTAAGTTAATATTTAGAGTTTTAATACTACTTTAAGAGAGTAAGTACCCTTATCTATAATACTATAGAGGAGCTACGCCTTTATTTCTTCTTAAGTTACATTAAGAACTAATCTACCTTTTTCTAAGAAAATAAAAGACTTTTAGCGCTCTTTAATATAATCCTTTAGTACTACTACTATAGCGTTAACACGTTTAGTATCTATTAGATAACTCTCTAGATAGGTATTAAACTCTGTTTTCTAGTCGAATAAGAAGGTCGTAATACTAGTATATATCTTGTTTTTTAGTAGAATAAAAAGGGTATTATAATAGCTCTTCTTTATTTCTTTAACATAAGTTCGCTAAAAGGGCTGTTCTACTTTAGAAGGGTTATTAAATTCGTATAGGTTTATTAAGGGAGCCTTTCTCTTCTTAAGCGCTATAAGGTAGTCTTACTTTTACTTAAGGCGCTACTCTACCCTTACTTAGGCGATCCTCTTGTTTAACTTAGTCTTACTTAAGGAAAGGATTTCTATTAACATTTAAGGAGTCGTACTAGGTTTACTATTATCTACTTATAAAGAGGTATTCTAAAGAGTTACTTAAAAAGAGGCCTATATCTTATTAAGGTTTATTTGTCGTGTCTACGTTATTACTTCTTACTTTAACAGTCTGTAACCTTTTAGTAAAGGAAAGAGATTAGAATGTTAGGTATATTTTTATAAAGTAAAAGAGGTAAGAGTTAATAGACAGTTATAGTATATTTAAAGGTATATTACTACTTTTACTATAGACTAATCTCTAAACCCCTTTTCTTTTTACCTCTCTCTCCTCTATTCTTATACTCCTTAACGCCTACTATTACCTTAGTCGTAGTACGTAGTTACTCTATACTTGATTTCTAAGCTATTATAGTCTTACGTGTTAGTGTACCTAACAGTTACTTAACTATTATAGCTACTAGACAAGTTCCTAGACTCTCTCTAGAATAATAGTAGTTTTGTTAATATCTTTAAAGACTACTAGATAAAGGTAAAGCTTTAATACAACTAGTAAGACAAGATCTTAAGTAAAGTAAAGGTTTACTTACTTAGCGTTAAAGACTATAAGGTACTAGAAGACACGTTTAACAACCTTATAGTTAAGGCTACCTTAAGAAAACCTTTTATACTACGCCTTTTATATACCTTACGTTTATAGTCTAGAGGACTATACTAAATAGTAAAAAGAAAGAGAGAGTTGTTATTAATATTTATAGGTTAAACTAGCTAGTTATACTAGATATATACCTAATACCTATATAAGAAGATATTTTATAAATAATATAAGGCTATAAGTTTATAATAGTAGTAGTTAATACTTTAAGCTATTTTTACTAATAGTAGAATTACTTAAAGACGCGTTACTACTTTATAGTAGTAATATATATAGGTTAATATACGTTTAACTATACGCTTATAGGCTTTTATAATACTTTATTCTATACTTAGTAGTAAGTAAATACACTAATAGTATATATAAAATTATTTGTAAAGGCCTTTATAGACGATATAGTAATTATAAGTAAGACCTTAGTAGACTATATTAGCTATATATAAGAAGTATTTACATACTTTATATAAGTAAACATTACGTTAAAGGGGCTAAAGTACTTTATTACCTTTTTGTTAGTTACTATACTAGAACAGAAAGTCGACTCTTTTAGTATATTAACAACAGAAGAACACGTTATAGTAATAGTAAAGCTTACTTTTCTAAAGAACTTATAATAGCTTAAGCGCTATCTAAAAATAGCTAGCTAGATATAAAATAAGGTACTATATTTTATATAGATTATAGAGCTCTTATAGACACGTAAGACTAAGCTTTTAAAGAAGGCCTTAATAAAGGGTAGAGCCTACTAGAGCTTTATAGTAAAAGAGGCTTTTACTTACTTAACAAGTACTAAGTAAGTAGCTTTTTTAGAATTATAAAAGAAGCTTATAAACCCTTAAGTCCTTACTTATTTTAACGCTAATAGATAGCTGTTTATAGATTTTAATACCTTTAAGTAAAAAGAGATTAAAGTAGTTACGTACTATATATAAGGCGATATAGTAAGAAAGAATAAGTACCCTTTATAGACTAAGGTTAAGCTAGTCTTGTTTTTATTACGTACTTTATGTAGTATAAAGACAAGGTACTAGCTAATAAAGCTAGAAATATATACTATAGTATAAATAGTACGTAAGCTTATAAGGTTTATTAAAGGCTTACGCGTTTAACTAGTAATAGTGTTTATAGACTATAGCGCGCTATATAACATATCTAAGTAGTTAGATATTATAACAACTATATTAATACAGAAGTTAAATCTACGACTAGTTCTTATAAGTAAGTATTTATATAAGTTTAACCTTAATATTTAATATAAGCCTAGTAAAGCTAACATTATACTAGATATACTATCTTAACTATTAACTATAAAAGAGGTCCTTAACGACTTTAAAGTAAGAGAGTTAGATATACTATTTGTAAAAGAAGCGTTTTACTATATAGTAACCCTAGTTAAAATAGACCCTACCTTTAAGTAAGATATAATTAACAAGTACGTAATAGATACTAAGCTATTATAGATAGTTAGTATACTATAAGACAATAAGAAACTAAGTAAAGATATAGTAAAGCTACTCTTTAAGTAAACGTAAGATAGACTCTTATTTTATAAAAGTATTAATAGATATCTTAGGCGTCTTTATATTCCTTAGGCTTATTTAAAGAAAGTATTTAGTAACGCCTATAAGTATAGGTACCTAGGCTATAATAAGATATTAGAAATTATTATATTATTATTATTGTTCTTACTACCTATGCTTACTACATGTAGAACCTCTATACTACATAAATCACGTAGTAAAACCGTGCTAAAGCTAGGTAAAAACCTACGTACTATTACTTACGTTTATACTATTATAGCGCCGCTAAGGCGCCGGGTCCTTATCACTGCCCTACTAGAACTTAACCTTCTAGCCTAGTAATACTAAATATAACGCTAGTAAGGCGCTAGTAAGGTACCGGCTACTAGCTAGGGCTACTCCCTCTCTTATAACTCTTCTACTAGGTAGTACTTAGCTAGATAGAACTATAGGAATCGGCCGGTAGACAGTAGCTAACAGATTAGTATATAGGCGCTCTTGCCTTTCTCTATTACTACCGTAAAGTCGCGGAACGTCTATAGCGCTCTTAGGTAGAGCGCTTACTATAAGGCCTGCTACTATTAATCTAGTTACTAGTAGTCGAGGACTAGGTAAGCCGCTATCTCTAGGGCCTTACCGTAAAGGCACTAAGAGGTCGCTACCTCTAGTACTCTATACTTAAAAAGAAAAGCCACTCTATCTAACTTTACTAGTATAGATCTATATTAAAAGAGAGCTCTTATACTTATAGAGGAGTAAGTACTTCTTAAGGGCATCTACTAAGAGGGCAGGTAGCGCGGCTAGGGCGGCGCCCTAGTAGTATACTAGCGAGCTATTGTATTAAGACTATTGTACCTTCTAGTTCCCTTATAAGGTCTCTTCTAGAGGGGAGTCCTTATACTAGTCCTTTGCCTACGCGGCTCGGCCTGTCCTATACTTAAGTAACGTATAAGGCGGTACTATAGTAGCGCCGTAGTAGTGTCTTTAGCGTTGTTAAAGACAGGTCGCTACCTTGTTATAGATAGACTATATAAGTTTACCCTTACTTATACGTTTAAGACGTTGTTTAAAGTCTACTACTTACTTGTTAAGGTAGAGGTTAAGTAAGGGCGTAGCTGTTTTAGACTTAAGGAACTAGACAGGTATTACCTAGTACGCCCTTATAACGACGTAAAGGTACTATAACTACTTTATAGTAAGGTCTTTTATAATCCCCTTAGCTCGCTACCTAAAGGGGCGGTACTAGACCCTTATGCTGTATACTATAGCACTCTAGATTACCTTTATATAGATCTCCCTTACGTGTAGTAGGCTATATCCTTACGCGGACGCGGCGAGCCTTATAAGCGCGAACTACTAGGTAGCGAACTTTTGTTTAATAGCGTTAAGGTAGCCCTTTTATCTAAGCTTCTAATCTATCTAAACTCTTAGAAAGCGCGTCTCTTAGACTAGGGGTATAACCCGGCTGTTAAGGTAGACAGGCGTCGTTAGTACGGCGTGTACGCAGGTAAGGTAAAGGAGCTTACTCTTTTCTAAGGCGAACTCTATCCTCCTTATACGCGACTACTAGCTATATATCTACTACGCCCCTTTAAGGTATCGGCGTGTCTCTATCGTGTCTCTACTAAAAGCTAAGAGGTTAAGGTTATTAGTAAACCCTACTATAATAAGGCCTGTATAACCTTATAGTAGCGTGTACAAGCTAGTAGTATAGAGGAAGAAGAGGATAAGAGAGAAGGGCGAACCTTATAGTACCCTTATAGTAACTTTCTAGGGCGGCGCTACCTCCTCGTTAAAGAAGAGACAGGCCGTCTAATTAGTAAGGAAGCTATACACCTACTGCACGGCCTACATAGGGAACCCTAGGTGTTAGAGAGTGTAGAGAAGGCGTGTGTAGTTTACTGTGTTAAAGGCGCCTTTAATGTCGAGTAGAAATTATTATAGTAAACTTCTTTATCTTATAGATATTAAAACACTTTTACTTATTCTTAAAGTACTACCTTAAGTGTCAAGTATACAAAACTACTAGACATAAGCTATATAGCTTACTATAACTAATCCTTACACTACTTATACTATTCTATACTATTACTTTAGATTTTATAGTAGGCTTACCTATATTAAAAGAAGGATTTAATACGCTTCTTATAATAATAGACAAGCTAATAAAGAAGATTACACTTATCTTAGGTAAATCAACCTAAATAGTAGTAGAATAAGGCGTTATAGTAGTAATTTAGCTAATAGATCTAGATTAAAGACCCTTAAAAGTAATAATTATAGACTATAGTCTATAATTTTTAGTAAGATTATAGACAGCTATATTCTTACGATTAAGAACAAGGCTATTATACTTAATAGTATACTACCTATAGTCTAACAGTTAGAGTAAAAGAACTAATTAGACAATAAAGATTACTCTTTAATATTACCTTAATATACTTAAGGACAATACACTCTAGTATAAAGCGCTCTTAGAGCTATAGTTTTATCTAAACAACTTGCTTTTAGCTAGTACTATAGTAGTAAATCGCTAAATAAAGTAGTGTATAGATTTATACTAAACGATATAATCACGCTAATTATAGACAAGAGTAAGGTAGTTAAGACCCCTTAAGCTTATATTACAATAGCTAATGCCCTTAATATAGTAGTAATATTAGTAAAGTATTACTATAATCTAAGGCATAAGCTAATAGTATTTAAAGAAGGTAATAAAGTGTACTTACACTTATATAAAAAGTACTTAATCCTAGTAGAAAAGAATAAGAAGCTAGACAAACAAAGGGTAGGCCTACTTAAGGTACTAAAGAAGGTTAGTAAGTATACGTATAAGCTAAAGGTCTTAGAACACTAGTAAGTATATAATATGTCTTTAGTCGTATACCTAGAACTAGCTCTTAAGAGTACTAACTTTTATAAAAGACAGCCTTTACTACCCTTAGAGGTAGTTATAGTTAATAGTAAAAAGAAATAAGAAATTAAGAAAATAGTAGATAAGAGGTTAAATAAAGGCTATATATAGTATCTTATATAGTAAAAGGGATTCGGTCTTAAGTTTAATATATATTATTATTATTGTTCTTACTACCTATACTTACTATATACAGAACCTCTATACTACATAAATCACGTAGTAAAACCGTGCTAAAGCTAGGTAAAAACCTACGTACTACTACTTACGTTTATACTATTATAGCGCTACTAAGGCGCTAGGTCCTTATTACTACCTTACTAGAACTTAACCTTCTAGCCTAGTAATACTAAACATACTAATAAGACGCTAGCGAGGCACTAGTAAGGCGCCGGCTACTAGCTAGGGCTACTCTCTCTCTTATAACTTCTCTACTAGGTAGTGCTTAGCTAGATAGAACTATAAGAATTAGCTAGTAGATAGTAGCTAACAGATTAGTATATAAGCGCTCTTACCTTTCTTTATTACTACTATAAAGTCACAGAACGTTTATAGCGCTCTTAAGTAGAGCGCTTACTATAAGGCCTACTACTATTAGTCTAGCTACTAGTAGTTAAGGACTAGGTAAGCTACTATCTCTAGGGCCTTACTATAAGGGTACTAGAGAGTCGCTACCTCTAGTACTCTACGCTTAAAAAGGAAAGCCTAGAGTCTAACTTTACTAGTATAGATCTATATTAAAAGAGAGCTCTTATACTTATAAAAGAGTAGGTACTTCTTAAGGG